TTTCATAGGGTTCTTTTACAGAATACTTACCTTGGTGATGCACTTGGCTATCTGAAACATATCTTTTAGGATGTTTCTCCTTAACACTTGCAGGTGAAGAGGGATTGGTCACTGAAGACTGGCCAGAAGACTGGCTGGAAGACTGTGGTGTATTTTCCAAAGCGGATAAACAGTAAGAGAAATGGTGTTTGTCTGAATTTCTTTCTTGATTAGTATCTGGACTTTCTGCTCTTTCTCCCATTGTTTTGAAAGCAGTCTCTATTCACATAATTTCAAAGATTCTGTTCTCCAGAAAAGTCCATGACCAAACTGAATAACATTTTCAGAGTCTTCAGATCCTGATGATAGTATTCCTTTCTGGACATATGAATTTCTCCCTAAGTTCAGCTGTTTCGAATTCACATTAGCAAGTAGAAGATATACTTCTTCCCCTACACACAAGGAAGGAGGTAGTCATACAGTCATAAAGTGGAACACCTTTTTACTTCTACAGATAATGAATTTACTAAAAGCAAAACACGCTGGTTACATTTTTCTAAAAGATAAGACAATTTTATCTCTCTTTAATTTCACATACAGTTTGTTTTAGGAGTTGGAGAAAAGACACTGTCATAGTCGAGTTAAGTAACGTAGCATGCTAAGTACCTGACATGAAATTGCTTCTCAATAAATAAAAACTAAATTTGACTCCATGGACCTGAAGATTTATCCTAAACACAAATGGTGCTATTTAACAGGCAATAATGTTAGATGTTGAGCTGCTAACATTATTACAGTATCACTATTTTGTAAGTGTTCTTAGTGCACCTAGAAGTGTATTTTATACACAGAAGGATACATTATATACTACACATCCTACATGAAATAGCTGACCAACCTAAATACTAACACTTAATGTATAAATCTGACAGAGTTTAAAGAGAGATTTAGGAATGGAACTCATTCATAATACGGAGACTGACCAAATACATATGGTGTCCAAACAATGTCAAAGCATTTAACATTAAAAAAATCATTTAACATTGTATTTCACTGGACAAATTATGGATATTAAGTGATATATGGCTACATATTTAGAATCTGACACATAAAATCAAATCAATAAGTTCGTGGACTTTTATCATTACTAATCTTTAAGCACTAGAATTTTTTTCCTTTT